TACAATTGACAAACTCACATAGGTTATGTTTACTACTTAAGAACAGCTGATGAGAGGGGTGTTATGTAAACAAACATGTGTACCAACTGTTGGTGATGAAATATTTCATTTGTTGAAAACTCAATATACATATATATAATATAATGATACTATATCTTGAAAACAAGAGCTAATATATAATTTTTATGGTCACTTTCGGTTTTAACACGTGGAAATACATTAAAATCATCTAATTTCAACCCCGAAACAAAAACTTTGTTGTGTTGTGTATCAGTGCGACAAAAATCCACACGATACAAAAATATCATATTCAACTGTGACAAAAGCACATTTGGGTATTGTATGAAATACAACTATTGGTTCAGATTTCTGATGAAAATTTTTTTCGTGTATATGTCATAATTTTGGGATTTGATTTAAAGTTTTCCTGCTATTCAAATATCCTATACTTTGTAAATAGGTAGATGAATGATAGAATGTCCCGCTAGATCATCTAATCTAAACTCATTAGATATTTTATGGGATGATTCATGATCGAAAGTCTATATGGACATACCTGGTGATATCCGTGAACTGAAAGATTGAATCAGGCGAAAATCACAGAAGACACTTTCTGCTGTGCTACAAAATGTCAGTAAACAAAATATCAGAAACGTGTAAGAGAAAAAAGTTAGGAACTTCCGCTGTGTTACATATTTCAGAAATTAATGAAATTCCCGAATGGTTCATTGTTTTTGGGTCAATTGAAAACCAAGTATCTACACAACTACGTAATTTCATTTGATAAGTTTAATCATATTCTTTCTCCGTGTCTCATTTGGTGAAAATTACTGTAGCTCATAAGTGTTTTTTATAACTTTTTTGTAACTAACGTTACTGCAGATTCGTTCCAATGATTGATTACATTAGACCTTATATAACACCACTCTAGGTAATAATACAGGTACTAAGCTTGATTGAGTACCTGAATTTTATTTACTAGTGACAATGTGGATATGCTAATTTGAAACCCGGTGAGTAAACTAAATTGATTTGATGATTTAACAGGTTGCACCCGAAATTGAGTTTGCAACCCTTCCTTGCATAGTGCAAAATTTTCGTTACGTTTAGATTCGGGAACTTGTGATTGCATGCCAAGGAATGGTTTGAAAACGTTGAATCATTTTTACCTAGTCTGAAGGACCTTTCTTGTTCAGCATACCGTTTTTGGAAATTTCGACCACATTGTCCCACATAAACACTATTACACTCCTGACACTTAAGCTTATAAACTCCAGATTTCTCCAACTTGTCCACTTTATCTCTGGTATTGAAAAGGAAATCAGATAACCTGGCATATTGTCTGAATGCCACTTCCACATTGTTTTTTCTGAAGAAAACTGCAATTATCTCTGTTCTTTCATCAAAATATGTTAGTTACCCATTTCTTGATTTCTGATTTTTTGATCTGGGGGTATATCAATCTGTGAGTGAATTTCCGGCTTTGTTTCCTGACTAACTGGATTGTATCTGCGTTGAAACCATTATTATGTCCTATCTGTGTCCTTCAGGCTAGGTGAAATGATTCGACGTTTTCAAACCATTCCTTGGCATGCAACCACAAGTTTTCCGAATCTATGCGATACGGAAATTTTGCACCACGCAAGGAAGAGTTTCAAACTCAATTATTTAGTGCAACTTGTTAAATGATCAAATCAATTCAGTTTACTCACCGGTTTTCAAATCAGCATATCCACATTGTCACTAGTAAACAAAATGCAGGTAGTCAATCAAGCTAAGTACCTCTATTAATTATTACTTACAGAAGTGTTATATGCCGGCTAATGTAATCAATCATTGTTAGTTTAATGTTTGGAAATGTCTTATAGCAGGGGAGCCCACGATGCAAATTGGGGATTTACTCAAGCGTCATTGAGACATATTAGGTTGCAAAGCTTAGATGATAAGAAGAAAAAAATGTTATATAATATATCCCTTTTTATCGGTGGGGAAAGCGGCTATAGATTTTCAAATATGTAAAAAAATACTGTTGCATGAACATACTCGAGCGCATCAGATATTGATAGCATCAATGTCCTACGTATTTTTAATAATGTTGGTATGTTAATCTGATCGTTTGCATGATGTGGGTGGTTGTACGTAAGGGTTAAAAGTGAAAAGAAAAAATATTTGATCGAGCGCGTCAGATTTTCTAAGGGGGTGTTAAGTGCAACAAAAAAAACTCTCATTCAATAATCTGACGATTTCGATCTGACGCAAACTCGCGGCCATTATTATAATGTGCAAAAAAATGTGATGGCGTCATGGCAACAGAATTCAGAGTGGGGACGGAGTGAGAGAGTAATAGATAGAGAAAAAGTGAATAGAGAATAGAGGAATAGAAATTCGGAGAGGGAAATATAGGTATCACACAGCTGCACGCATTAAACTTTATCAAAGAATTTTTTTTATTTTGGCTTGCGGAAATCGTCAATTACATATTTTTCGTTATCCTTGAATTATTTCCTTCAAAATAAAAAAAAATAAGCTACGCTTGAGAATGTCGAAATGACGTTATTTTTTCACAACTTTGCTGCCCTCTCCTCTCTTTACATCACTCTCAAATTGTCAGATTACTGGAATATACACTTTCTAGCAGGTAATGAACTTACCCTACCTTAATCTGACGCGCTCGAGAATTTCTGATGATCTTTTTTTTACTAATCTGATCCTTTATCCCTCACAGGCTCATATTTGGTGGAGGTACTTAACGGGGTACAAGGTATCCCCCTGTATATTAATCTGCCACGCTTCAGTAAATCCCGAAATCCCCGCTTGGGCTCCCCTATTATTATAGGACGAATTTGCAGTAACGTTAGTCACAAATGAAAGTAGTAAAAAACAGAAAATTTCAAATCTTTTTTCTTCAGTAACTTTCACAAACATAGGTTGTAACATTTGATATCTCTCATTTTTACTTTATTTTTATCATTGTCATTGAAATGTTAGGATTTCCCACAATATCGATAAAAAAATATGACAAAAAGTTTCATAGAAATTAAAGTTTCAATAAAATGTGTCCCTTCCAAAGTTTAAAAATTTCAATAGGTTTCTCTGAAAATGCAAAATAAGCTGAAAACAATAATTATATTACAAAACTTTTATTTTTCGTCAATCATTAATCAAGAAATATGACTTTGAATAGATTCTCAAATTCTACTTATCGCCCCGCTTGGGGCTTTGTTAACAAGATGGACCTGTTACTAGTTAACAATCTTCCTCTTAGACAAAGGTTTCATAAATGTAGTCAAGCCGCGTTGAAATCAATCGAGTCCCCGACACTTTGCTGTCTGGGTAGGATCTTTCCCGTACTGACAAGAGGTAATACCTCGAAACCGCGGTCTGCGGGTGATGTACTTAAATAATTACAGCATGGTCCTGCTGCTGTATGAACGAGAAACATCTGAAAGACTAACCTCTGTGAGGCATCTTGCATAAATGTATAATTCAATATCCAACTTGGTATTGGCCGGGAAAGTAGTTGTTTTCCGGCAGGCATTTACCGAAACCTACTGTGTAGGTAGTTGAGAGATGAATATTTCAAGATTTCATTTCGAAATTATTTACCTATTCATAGAATTATGAATTGGTGGAAATTTCAGTGAAACTCATTACCGAAAATAAAATCGGTTCAAGGGATATTTTAATATCCGGAGAGAAGAAAAAAAAGTCGCCAGCCTTCAAAAATACTTGTCAAATTTTGTGGTTTCGTGCATTTTCATTTTTTCATACTTTTCATACATTTGCCACCATTGACACCTTTATCTGCTACTCCAAAAGACATTTATTCTACCTTTATACCTTGACAAATTCTTTTTTATAGCTTGGATGGGTGCATTATGTCTGGGGATTTCCTTCGCCACTTCACCGCTCATAGTCGCCATTTGTAGGAGGAAATCGGCGAGGCTGGCAGCCGTTATAGGAGGCCTGATAATTTCCCTCGCATGTCTTTTCACTTCATTCGCCGTTCAATATCATCAGGTAAGTGAATAGCGATAATCCAATTAGTTAATACATAGAAAAGAGCTCTCGCGGCTTTATCCTAACTGTGGCACGATATCAAACTGGATAGATCCAGTTTTCAAACTGGATAGATGAAAACTGATGGCTATGTGTCAAATTTTATGATAAACTCAATGATGAAAACCGCATAATGATACATATCATCGTTTTTGAGTTACAGCATGGTTTTCAAAAAAATGCATTTTTCAAAACTTTTTCCTGTCGAAAATTCATTGTTTCTATGAAAACATTTCCAGATTACCTTTTTACGTAGTATTCAATGGTGCAAAAAATTCATTTTTCAAATGAGATATCAATAGTAATTGATGGAAAACTATTTTTTGATTAGACACCCTGTATATTCCTGATTAAAATTAATTTTTAAAAAATGTAGCACATTTGAGGTTTTGCTTGAGTCATCTTTAGAATACAGAGTTTTAGATTTTTCCATGTAGACGCACACTTTGATCAAGTAGGCTCTTATAGCAATAGATATTCCAGGAATATTTCATGAATATACATTTAAGGATACTGTATTATGCTATAAATATGCCATGGATATATATATATCTTCTGGAGAATATTCCCTGGAAGTGCTCCTGGCGAACCTTTGATATATTTTAAGAATATTCCTTGGGAATATTCTTGGAATATCTTATAATATTCTTAGAATATCTAAGGTATATTCTATTAAGAATATTCCAGGAATAGAACCCGAGGAATATTCATAAAATATTCAGGATATTCTTAGTTTATTGTAGGAATATACAATAGAGAAACACCATAGAATATTCTTTAAATATATTTTATGAATATTCTAGGAATATTTGGAATATTCCAAGAATGTGACGAGTAACCGCTATTAGGCATGTATATATTGCATTTTGATACAAGATTCACACAAGTAATAAAACACATAATATTCATAAACAAATATATTTTAAAAACAATATACACTGAAATATTTGACGTTTCAACCAATATTAAAANCAGGAGATGAAAACTCTGTAGCACCTACACCAAACACCCTGTATATTTAAAAAAATATATCAAAATATAGCTCTCATGAACTCCTAAAACTTTTGTATGAAACATTTTTGTGTATCTCCTTCAACAAACCAGATATTGCCTGTCACATAAAATGTGGGACACCCGGTATATATATATATATATTCTGGAGAATATTCCCTGGAAGTCTCTTGACGAACCTTTGATGCATTCTAAGAATATTCCTGGGAAATATTCTTACTATATACTGAAATATTTAACTAGAAATACTACCAATATTAAAAAATCTAATTCGAGATATTTATTCATTGAATAAAATATTTCTAAATATTTTCATGTTACAAATCTTAGAAATGTATTTAAATTATTGAATGTTCCTACTCTCAAAAAATGTATACTGAAATAACAATTCTGTGAATTCATCAGCACTAATTGAAAAATAATAAATATATCATTTCATTGAAATGAAGAAATATATGAATGAATTTCACTTACTTAAAGTTATCCAAACTTTGCTCACCAAATATTTTTCCTGATATTTGTCCAACAATGCATCAGCCAGTATTTCATTATCGATACCTGGAACGCATTATCACTATTTGAAAGTGGCAAAACAAAATTGAAATTAAACTCAAATAGATATTATTCTCATAGGTTCCTCATGAACATTTACAACTTTTTATGATCTGCAGAGCAACTTGCATTCCCGTTGTTGAAAAGTACTCATTACGTATTCAGTTTCTTGGCCAGGTACCACTCCTTTTTCTTTTGGGCATATTGATACCATCTTGAGAAAGACTGAAAACAAATACAAAAGAATGTGTCACTTACTTACTTTTCTCTACTTAAGATACACAACTGAAATCACCAGTCAAACCAACAAATCCCACACACCAACTCTCTTCGGGCCTAAAATGAGCTATTGCAGGTTAAGCACCATGACTTTATTATCGATACTATTGTCTTTTACTTACTTTTCTCAAAGACTATGTAATGTAACTCTACTGTTTGAAGATGCGAAAGCAAACTATTCGCTGTAGATACTGCAAATTGGACAGCCTCAAACTATAAATGGTACACAAAACATGAGAAAATGATACTTCCACAAAGCTTCGAATGTCGCGCGCTACACTTCAATTGACCAATGAGAAACGTTTACTCCAATACTTCATTTCCCCTTTTCTCTGTTGCCAGGATTTGTCGCTTTGTAATTGAATAATTTCAAATACGAAATGAAAAATAGGATGAGAATAAACCGATTTATTATTGCAATTGATTCATTTATTGGACCATTCGATTTTTTTTGTCGTTTCCAATAGTTGGAGGAATTCATTAGAATCTTCGCGATGACTTCAAAAACTGGTTAACACTATATTAGGTTATGCATTCGATTAAAATCTTCAAATATTTTTGTTTTCTATAATATCGAATTATTTGAATACGTTATCATAAGATAATCCAAAATTCCGTATAGAAATATTTCGAAATATACCCTGGGGATATATTCTAAAAATATTCCATGTGGTATATTCGATCGACAATATTCTTAGAATATTCACGGGAGAATAATCCATTTATAGACATTCTATGCACATTCTTTTGGGAATAATCCTGCCATATTCATTCAAGCATATTCTATGAATATTCTAAAGGCATATATATATTCCAAGAATATTCTATGAATATTTAAAATATATACGTTCGTTTTATGATATAGCGGGAATATTCCATGAATATCTGGTGCTGTGTGGAATGCGGCGATAACAGAATGCAAATCTTGAACAAAAATCACAATCAGTGATTTTTGTTCGATTTCCAAACACATTCGCAATGAAGTATGGGAATTATGAAAACTGGGATATGATAGTCTGTTTTATACAAACCGGACAAAATGCAGAAGCAGCTAGCAATTTGTATAACGAGAGGTAACCAGAGAGAAAATAACCTTTTAGAGACATATTCGCAACCTAATTGATGATGGTCAATTTGAAAAAAAAACTATATGAATCAAATGGTGATGAGGAGTTGAAAGAAATATACGTTTCAGGAGCTGTTGAAGATAATTCCAAAACGTCAAAGCGAAATTTGAAAATATCAACAGTCCTACCAAGAACTAACGTTGGGAGGATTTCAAAAAACACAAATTCAAGCCTTACAGGACCAGAAGAGTTTATCAACTCGGACCAGGAGAATTTGAACGCCGCATGACTTTTTGCCGGTAGTTTCTGGACAGACGAAGCTTTTGTGAGCAGTGCCGGCATTTTCAACCTCTACAATTTTTATACTTATGCACAAAAAAATCCCCATTATGTTGTAAAACAAAGAAGTCAAGGAAGATTTGGATTTGATGTGTATCAGGTGTTTTCAGGGATAGAAGTATCGGCCCGTTCATTCATATATGGCACTCTCACATCTCAGAAGTATTTATGAATTTTAAGCCAAAATATTGAACAACTTATTGATGAATTGTCACTAATGGAGTTCGGAAAAACATATTTTCAATAATACGGAGCTTCGCCTCACAACACTGCTATTGTCCCCAGTTTTCGGCTGCAAATTTTGCTATTGATTGGATAGCCAACCAAGGACCCAAGCGTTGGCCGGTCACGTCACCGGACTTATGCCTATGGACTTTTACCTCTGGGGAAGATTGAAATGTCTCATTTTCAAATTGCCGACCAATTCTAGATATGGAGCGGCAGTGATGCAAAATTTTGCTTCTCTCACTCCTATTGAACTAATTAATTCGGCAAAAAACGTCCACAAAAGGTGTCCCCTGTGTTTTTAGAATAAGCTGGTAGACATTTCAGCACCTTCTCTGAAGAAATATATTCCATTGTTTGTTCTTTATCATTAATATTATTATTGTTGAAGTTTCGTTTATTAGTAGAAAACTTAGGATGAATTGTTATCAGTTTTATTGAAATTATGCGTTTCAATAACTGCTGTGAAAAGCTTTCTCAATATTTGATAGCTACTACCGAACAATTTCTTTCTGTTTTATCGCAGTGTCGTGCAAATACTACTTGACCAAAGTGTGCGTTACAAAGTCTACATGAAAAAACCTTAAAACTGTGTATTTCAAAGATGACTCCAGCGAAACATCAAATGTGCTACATTTTTGGAAAGGTTATTTCGAGCTCTATTGAAATATGTAGGAACATACAATGTGTCTCACTGAAAAAACAAATGATATATCAATAACTATTGATATATCATTTGAAAAAATTAGTTTTTCACGAATTCTACGCAAAAAAATGCTTTGGAAATGTTTTCATAGAAACAAAAAAAAATTGACAGGAAAAAACTCAACAGCAACTTTTCGATAATGCACATTTTCCAAAAACATGCTGTACCTCAAAAACGATTATAGATATCGATATGCGGTTTTCACCATTTAGTTTGTCATAACAGTTGACCCTCAGACACAGCCATCAGTTTTCATCTATCTAGTTCGAAAACAGGAGTTTCTCTTTGAAGTTGTTCAATTTGGCACACTCTGTACAAACGTCTGTTTGAGTAAAGTTGACTAGTTTTCAACAATTTTTCTGAAAAAAGTTGGTTGGGTAACAGGTTCAATTTTTTCTTAAAAAAAACAATTGTTTTCTTGCCGACGTTCTGAATTTAATTAAATTCTTCTTCAGGGTTTCTTTCGAACCCTGCACCAGAGCCCAAAGGTGTTTTTGATCCATCTGTAAACCAACAACTATCTGCTCTTGAAATTTCCTTCTCCCGGAGGATACGATCCTCTCTACTCTGGAAAAGTACTGTATAAGGCAGTTCGTAGTTGACAGTTGGAGGCATGTCAGAGGTCATTCCCAGACTGCTGAGACTTCCAGTGTCAGCCAACAGCCTAGGCAATTTAATGCCTACTCTGCATTAAATTGCTTTGTGCAATTGGTAATATGCACAAGTCTGTGTGCAGTCCATCTTGCCTTTCTCTACGGAAAAATGTGGAGATGAGGTAGTTCTAGATGGATCTCCATGGCCGCTGACGGTGTGGTACTGATGGCACCACTGATAACCAGACAAGCCTGTCTATGTAAGCCAGAGAGCTTCGCCTGGGCAGTTTTTTGTAAAGCCTTCAGCCATCAAACAATTGCCCCATAAGTGATCATCGATCTGACAATCATTACATATATTCAATGAATTTATTTGGGATCTAAACCTCAAGTTCGTATTGGATCTACAGACACCATTAAACTCACCATTGTTTCTGTTCTTCATGGGCTACAGTTTCACTTCGAATAATTTTTTCGATGAAATATTTTTTGAGTTATTTGATATGGATGGATAGATGGATAGATGAGTATATAGATAGAAGGATAGATAGAAGTCTAGCAACTAGATGGCAAGCGAAAAAGGTGTATCATTCACTACTATCTCATGAAAGTGATATCAGGACACGAGTGAAATTTGAATCCGATGAATGCCCATATTTTAGCCTCCAGAATAACGTAGAACATACGTTATTCCACTGTGTCAGGTGGAAAGATATTCAGCAAGAATTCATGGAGTTTGCAGGGGTACCTTTCTCAGTAGAAAATATAATGAGGAAAGTTACTGTCAATGATGAGAGCTGGAATATCACATATCGAACAATTCGATTCATAATAGAGAATAATGAGAATGAAGATCGAACCCGCAAGTTATAAGGACAACACTATAAATTGAAGTATTGCGAAAGCAGTTCCGCTGGGAGGAAGCGGTGAGGAGGGCAGAGGTTTTTAGTATAAAAAATCTGGCACAAGTCTCCTGACCGCCGTTAGATAGGAGAAGCAGTCTATGAAGATTTTTCTCTCCTCTTTAATAAAAACAAAGATGGGTAGATGGGCAGATTGATAGATGATAAATGGATAAATGGATAGATAGATGAATGTACAGATGGATGAATGCATGAACAGGTAGATGGATAGATGGATGAATGGGATGAACGTGGTTTATTGGAAAGTTGACTTTCACTAACGGATAAATAAAAAATTGACTTTCAGATAAAAACTCTTTTGAACGGAATTTCTTTGGAATTAGTTAAACTATCTATGGCCTGACCTATTTCCAATCAAACATTTATCAGTCTCCAGAAAGGGTTTAAAAAAAATGCAACCCCCGGTACAGGCTCAACTTTGAAGTAAGAGTTAAAGTAGACTTCTAATTCAAATATTTGTGCAAATCAGTACTGTTTTCAAAGTTATACGGTGTTACCTTTGAAAAATTTTGTGCAGAAGTTCAAATTCTATCTTCCAATCATCCAAAACCACTAATGGGTGTGAAACATAAAGCTGAGAAATTTTAAGTTCTTTAATTATGTTTCAACTTCCAGGCTCTCTTGAGTTACGGCATATTTTTGGGAGTCGGAGCAGGAGTGGTTCGAGAAACGTCGACACTTGTTCTAGGACACTACTTCAAAAGAAGAAGGGAGTTTGTAGAAATGGTGGCGCAATCAGGAACAGGGGTTGGAATTGCCTTATTTTCCGTTTTGTATAAAGAAGCTGTTGGGTGAGTAATCATTTTTTTAAATTTATCAAAGTTAGATATTTTTAATACAGGGTGGTAGAACGAAAATGTATCGGCCTTTTTAAAGAACTGAGTCAGTTGTTGCTGAGATTTCTTAATATAAATGTTGTCCTCGCAGTCAACGCAATTGCCATTGATGATGTTTCTGCAGTAGCAGATGAAACGTTTAGTACTTCAGGTTCCATTCGACCACGGCCTACTAGCCAGAAAGCCCATGTTCTTATATCGAACTGAGTAAAATTTTAGGGAATCACCCCCAGAATTGAATTGAAAAAAGTATATTTTTGAAGGAGATTGATCTTATAGGGAAAGAAATATTCTGGCTTTCAACTCTTCATACAAAAAAGTGGGAGTCTTCCGAAGAAAAGAAGTGAGCAATCAATTACAAAAAATTAATTCTATACAAAGATGTGAAGATAATAAAAAGAAATAACTTTCAGACACTAACTGGAAGAAAACCCTCCTCGAAACAACAAATTTCATATAAATATTGAATTCCACAAAAGAAAAATTCTTTCGAAACGAATACTTTCATATGAACACTGAGTTATAGAAAAACACTTCTCTATTCAGTTTGTATTCTTAACATTCATTATGGTATTGAATCAGATATCATTCACAGAATTGCTACACAATATAATAAATGAAAGGAGTGAAATTTCACTTACATGAAACACTATCATCCTCAATGTTTCGATGTTTCAGCATAAGACACTTGCCTCATCGCCTCTTCGGCACCAAGTTTGGATGGCATTATAAGAAGAAGCACTGAAGTCATTCATAAAATTACTACTTTATATCACCACTGAGTTCAATCTACTTATGTCATCGACGACAGTACGTAATGACATTCATTCGCTCATTTGATTAAATCCAAAACCTTTCCACTCTCTCTCTTACCCACCGAATAACCTAACCTAGATAATAACAAAAATTAATTTTTCTGAATTTCAAAGAAATCGAAACCCATCCTTCACTTCCTCCGCAATGCACATTAATTGTCGCGATCCTTTGTTTGCAGGCATGTTAGGCGTACACATTTTCGAACCATCAGTCCACCCTTTCGTAGCTGTGTCGTGAGTGTCACACCAAATTTCGTCTAATAGAAAATTTGTCGTTTTTCTTTTCTATATTCTGTTATTCGTCTAAGTATTTGTTAGGCAATTCCACTATTCTTCTGCTTTCCGTAACTCGACGTTTGTTTATTATTTTAAATCTAAATCCTAGTTTCTTTACCCATTTCTGAAGAGTTCTGTCACAGCAGCTCACGTTATGGCCGGAAGTATTCAATTTCTTCCTTATGATTTCAGCTGTAGGAATCTCATTGCTTTTGTAACAGCCGTATAATTTTTTTTCAATGATTTTATTAGGTGAACATCTAAAGGTTTTGGTAATCCTGTATCACACCGCATCTTGCGTTCGTGACGTTTGTTTTTGACTATTTTACGTACAGTTGAGAAAGGAATTCCGGTCAAATCTGATGTTGCTTGTAATAGTTTTTCCCTCGAAACCAAACTTGATATGTAGATTCTTATATACATTGAAACATACTCTCTGTATTTCAATATTCAAATGCATCCGAATCTTACTCACTGGTATCTCTTTTTCGCGTTGTTCACCATCGCTATTGGAATCATTACACTTGAAAGTCTGCGTTGTTAATACACTCGTGGTTACTGTTAGTACTTCTCCATGAATTCCACATTTTCAACAGATTACAAAAATTGTTAGTTGTTATAACTGCACCAATATCGAATTTCAACACTCAAATCGCGGTCAGTTCCTGAACTGAACATTGATGACACGACGATAACCATCCCCGTATTCCCCGATTTCTATTCGTCACCATAACATAACTTCAAATTAAATTTTATGATTATCTAGCCAATCATAAAACTCGGTTAGTAAAAATTATCCAATACGAACCGCCAATTCTACAGTCCGCGTGGACTAGTTCGCAGCCGGTTCATTTCAATGTATTGGTTTTTTTGCCTTTGAGAGTGTCGCCAACTTTAAGTGTGCACAATATCGTTTACTTCGACTATAACCTGGTAAAAGTTTTTTTATGCTGGAATATTTCTGTTCGGATATCTTCCTCGATAGAATCGACGGGCTTCTGTAGCATTTCCATCTGCTAGTCCGTGAATATTCACTTAATAGTGTGTATTAATATAACCATGTTTGCAGGCTTGAACAATTTGATGATACTTCGTATTCATCACTTACTGTCAAGAAATTTCACGGTACTAGTGACTTGTACCTATTGTGTTTAACAATTAGCATTGTCTTATGGTAGGTATTATTTTCAAATTCTACGAAAAAACGGAAGAGGAACCTATAAATATCTTCAGAAAAAAATATCTTAGAAGCAGGGTCGTAGTTGAATCATTTGTCACTTTCTAAATTAATGTAATTTCGGTAATAATGTCATGAGTTATTTTATTCTTGCTGGGTTTGACAGGTAATTTTAAATCAAAAGTAAATGCCCAATTTGTATATCTTATGTCAATACATATTTAATTTTTACTTCGATTCGAGAATTATAAAAAAAAAAACATTTTTGAAGAGATTTCATACAAATGCACTGAAATTACCAAATTACCACGAAAGATTACCAAATAGGTTCATAGGTTCATAGGGCGAAACTGCAATAACGTTAGTTACATACCTACATGTGGTGTAAAGACATAGGAAGTTTTATTTCTCGTTTTTCATGATGATCTCCCACCATGTAGTAATAGCTACATCCATCAATCTATATATATAAAAGAAAGTGGTGATAGTTACACTATTTATAACTCAAGAACGGATGAACCGATTTAGCTGAGAATTGGTAGAGAGGTAGCTTAGAACAAGGAAAGGGACATAGAATACTTTTTATCCCGTTCAACCGCGTTTCCGTGAAGTCAGCAAGGAGTCACTACAAAACGTGATATAGCAAAAAGGCATCTGATATGGAATAACAAAAAAAAGTGAATGACAGCTAAACGTAATTTTGTCAATGGTTAATGAAGGCAATTGATGATGGAAATGGTGGTTTATATTTCCTGGATGCCCCTGATGGAACTGGTAAGACATTCCTGATGTCATTAGTTTTAGCTATACTGATCGTGCGAGATCCAACATTGCGCTTGCAGTTGCTTCTTCCGGAATAGCAGCCACATTGTTAGAAGGATGCCGTACGGCTCATTCAGCATCAAAATTGCTGTTAAATTGTAGAACCAACATGTAATATTTGAAAAAATGACCAAAGTTTTATCTGCATCGAAAATCATCATATGGGACGAATGCACTATGGCGCACAAACATTGAACATTCAACATTGAAAGATCTATGAAATGACTCGAGATGTTTTGGAGGTGCAATGATTTTACTGTCTGGCGATCTCCGCGAAACACTCCCAGTAATTCCAAGATCAACGGCTGCCGACGAAATAAACGTTTGGCTCAAATCATCGAATCTATGGCGCTATGTGAAGAAACTACAGCTGACAACAAACATGAGAGTTGCATTGCTTAATGATACATCTGCTGAAGATTTCTCTGAGCAATTGCTGATGACTATTGGTAATGGTCGAGAACCGGTCGACTAATCGAGTGGACTGATTTCATTTCCTCAAAATTTCTGTAACTTTGTCTCATCGAAAGACAAACTTATCAGCAAAGTATTCCCAAACATAATTACTAACTACAAAAATAATGAATGATTGAGTGAGCGAGCAATTTTAGCTGCTAAGAATAAAGATGTAGATGGAACATTTGAACAATGCATTTATTCAAATCAATTGACTGTGTAACAAATAAAGATGAAGCCACTAACTGAATTCTCAAACTCCTTTCGATGGTCGAAAGACCATCTGTGTTGTTTATACTTGCGCCTGATAATAAAACAAAAAATGTTGTGTATCACAAGGTGCTTAACTGAAGAGTGCAACCTAATAAAGAATAATTGAAATACATGATTAATAAAAAAATGTAATCAATTAAATAAAAAAATCTGCTTTTTTATTGCATCTAAGGCGGAACGAAGTTCACAGGGTCAGCTAGTATATTATATATTTTGCATTTATTCATTTCATATGAACACAGCAATATATTGAAAATATATTCATATTGAAAATATATTCAAACCCAAAGGATTTGTAGACATGAATTCTATGTATTAAAATTTCTTCATCAATTTACTGCATTGAAAAAAAATATGAATTACTTAATGTTTTGGATGGTTTTCGGGTTTTGCCGTGGACTTCTTTGGTTATGATTTCCAAACGTTTCGACTACAACTGCGGCAGTCATCTTCAGTGGCGAGGTCGAAGTACTCTTCTTGACATGTCAACTGAAACTGAAGCTCTCATTTCTGACGTGTTCTCTCTTCCTTTCTGTTGAAGTTCTATTGGTATATGTGTATTTATATTGCTTCTAAATGCATTCTTGTTGAATACTGATTTGAATTTGATACCTTCTCGGTATTTTCGAACAGGATCTTGTGTTCCCGTCGAACAGTGCATGTTCAGCGACTGCAGACTTCTCAGTTTGTCCCAATCGGCAACTCCGCTTGTGCTCGACTAGGCGGGTATCAATGCTTCTTTTCGTCTGACCGATATAGATTTTACCACAGTTACATGGAATCCGATTTGAGTGGATCTCTGCTGTCTTTTGCTGATTTCAGATACTCAGATATTTTCTCGGTTTGAAGACGGTGTTAATTTTCTCCTTCTTTATAATTTTCCCGATTCGGTTGGTGACACCTTCTATGTATGGCAGATAGACAGTACCTTGGGGTTGATCTTCACTGCTGTTTCTCTTCTTTTCCTTTGGACGTGTAGCGAGGATAATGTATTTTCTGTTGTAGCCTTTCGCTTGTAACACAGTTGTTAGGTGTTTTATTTCGTCGTCGACGTACATTTCTTCACATACTCTCAAAACTCTGTTCACTAGGGCGTTGATGACGGTTCGTTTCTGTTTTGGATGATGGTTGGATCCATTATGTAGGTATCGATCTGTGTGTGTGTAGAGATCGATATCTGGTATCTGAGATCAGCAAATGACAGCAGAGATCCATTCAATTCGGCGGGAGTTTATAGGATTCCATGTAACTGTGGTAAAGTCTATATCGGTCAGATGAAAGTCAGCATTGAGTATTATTACCTCTTTCTGATATTTTTTATGATGATCGAATGAAAGTCCACGGCTAATAGAGAATTTCAAAAAAAGGTAACAAGTTGCTAACAGCAGTCAATATATTGGGAGAGCAGTGGTCGTGGGTTTTTTATTTTGTGGAACAACCTTTTTTTGAATGGGGCGCCACTTGATTTGATTTTGCTAAAATCAAGAAATAAAAATATGCATAATCAGAAAATTATTTAATAGTTGCTGCAGACTAAACCAAAATATGGTAGACAAAAAAGGCGGTTATTGTTTTCATTACAAAAAGGATGTGATCCAGTAACACAACAAATGAAATAATACGACGCCGCTGCAGCTGCAGTAGGATCTTACAAAACAACGTTATAAAGTAAATTCATATGACTTTCATTACGTCTACACAAAATAATTATTGAAACGTTGGAAATAATTTTTGAAACGTTACATGCATGTAGGCACATATAATTTAAAAAGGAAACACCAGGTATATAGTTGGTTTCCAAAAATAGGTTGTCTGTGTAGTGGAAATCAACTCCGATGTAAAAAAATTGGAAATTCCTCACCAAATGAGTCCCTTCTTTTCTGGATGTTATCAGCAACAGGCTGTCTGAGAGGTCGAGTAGATTCTCGATGTAGTCTGGAGGGTTAGAAAACGAAACAGTTCAGTTGTCAGGCGATACTATAAACATCCTGGATTCGAAAGATATATGTCGAACTGGAGCAATTCGACTTTTCTTTTTTTTCAAAACTGGTCGACAGCAAAAGACGGTATTTGGGGATCCAAAAGGTTCCAAACCAGAACAAAAACGTTCGAGATGGTTGGACGACCCACGCTTCTTGGAAAATACCAAAGGCTGTACTTGTCCGTAGCTTAATGGAAACCGGCAGATCTCCTCTAAGGGAAAGGCTTCCACTAAAATAATGCCCAACACAAAAATGGTAACTGACGTGACACACTCTACTTTCGTTTCTCAACCGTCACCCAAAATCCTTTCAGGTGACCTCCGACCAGAAGTATTAACACAAACTCGTCCTTTGCGCCGTGACGTACACGTTGACGAAATTTGGTGTACTCCAATGGCAATACTTCTCCTTTGTATGAAGTATTCATTGAGCATTCCTTCTTTTTGAGAATTTTATTTCATTAATAATAATTCGTTTCTTTTTCTCTTCCCCAGACTACATCAACTATGCAATGAAATACAGAGTTATCAAGAAAATAAAATAGCTGATGTTTACTAGATTGGAACTCTGAAATTGTATACATGTATGTCATGATTTCCACAATTAAATGATACATTTCGTAACAAGTGCTTTGGATTGTTGATAAAAGTCAACTTTTCACGTTACAGTATGCATTCAGAATGCATTCAGAAACCATGTAAACACACAAACACCAAGAGAACTTCAACAGAAAGGAAGAGAGAACATATATACCAAAGATCTGGCACACAGCTTTGAAAAGCACCAAAACGAAGCCAAGTCAACCAAGTGGGTACTCGCGAAACCCCCATTACAGAAAGTGTGCGAAAAACCGCACTATAAATGGGAGCTTCATTTTCAGTTGACATGTCAAGAAGAGTACTTCGACCACGCCACTGAAGATTACTGCCATCCAAAATATTGACGCCAGCCGTAATAGCCTACACTCCTATATAAATTACTCAATTTCATACTCGAGAGTAACTCGTCTAATCGTGATTAGTCCATAAGACATGCATACACTATTCCGTTTGAAAAAATTCAACAGATGAGTATCGGTGAAAAATCGTTCAGTACAATAGTTTGCCTTTGGATAATTTATTCAAATTGTATTAACCGCTATGTGTTTCATTATTTTTATTCAAGTATTCATAATAATAACTCATAATAATGTGATATCTTGGAATTAACAAGAATCATTATCTTGTTTTTTCAGGGACAAAACACAAGCATTACAGGAAAATCCTCAAAGCGCTCTGAGAGGGGTGCCTGTGGAATAGTTACACTTATCTTTAGATCAACATTAGATACTTTTCGAATTATGTCAAGTTTCTTTTGTCAAATTTTCATATTCTCACATCCTTTTCTGCTTCAACTCAAATTATTGATTGATAATTTTCAGAAAGTTGGGATGGCGACTGGGCCTTCAATCTACGACCGGACTTCTAGCTCTGGCTTTTTTTCTACCTATAGTCTACAGATCAGCAAATCTATATCACCCACAGAGAAGAGCAATAACACATTTGAAAAACCAAAGAAAGAAAATGAAGGAGAAAAAATCTCACACGAAAATACCAAAACCACCGATGTTCGATTTCAGTCCTCTGAAAAGCAGAGGTCTCAGAGTACTGATGATGGCATGCACCTTTGCTGCCTTGGGAATTTATGCCCCTATTTTTTATTTGGTGAGTACCGATTTTCAAATCTGAGGAGTAATTATTTCTTAATACATAAGTATCATTCTGCCCTCATTTTAGATTGGAATACAAGTATATACAGTGATACCAATGATGGCAACACGGTTGACTTATTTTTATGCTGGTGACAAATAGTATCCTACATATTCTTTGACAGACATTTTTTGTGGAGGACTAAAAGTTTCTTACTGTTTTTTGGGTGTATTGTGGAAGGTTATTCTACATGTTATTATAATTTTATATTTTACGTAAGATTGTATACAGATCTAGTGTGTGAAACTGGATGATGAAGAGTATACTTGTCGAAATTTACTTCCAGGAGTTCCTCAAGGAAGCATGTTGGAGCCACTTTTATTCACACTCTATACTTTGAATTTTGCAAATGTTTTGGGATATTGTAGCAGATCGGTAGAGCTTATCAATGATGATTTCAGTTCGTTATATAAAATGTTAACTGATCCTATTCTGAAAATGAATTTAAAAAAAACAGTTCCTTTGATGTTTAGTAACAAATATATCAAACTATTTAAAAAATCGTGTAAATGTAATAATTGGTGATGCAAAAATACCTATCGAATCATCACACAAAAGTTTAGGATTGACAATCGATATATCTCAACGTTACAGAAAAATGTTACTAATGAACTTAAAAATGCTTTTTCTTCTGTGAAAGCAATCTATTTCCAAAGGCAGTATTTATCGGTGGAAATTGATATACTATCGCATTTTAACCAATGCGATGAAGTGTATATATACAATTCGTATATTCCTTGCTTAAATTGCTCAGAACTACGCCGTATCCAGAAAATACAATCATCATGTGTTAGACTCATCTATGGATTATCAAAATTATTCCAATAATGAATGACATATTCACATAATTTCTATTGCAAAAGATTGTTTTTCAATACTTTTATAGTCGGTCCTAAGAACTTCAAGTTTCCAGGAGAAAATCTATGAAAATAGGTATTGAATTTCTGCTGTTTAGAATTTCAATTTGTTTTTTAAATTTTGGATACGCCTATTTGTAATAACATTTTAGAAAAAGTATGTTATTTTATAGTAAAGTTAAGCTATTCGCAGGTATTGCTTCATATTTATTACTCTCAGGGTTTTTCTTTCAGAAAATCCCAGAATTGAACATTATTGACAAAATGGTAACTTGCAGAAACAATATTTGTAATATTTTGCAGGGAATCAAATCAAAACTCATTATTTCACTCACAAAAGTCAATATGTTTGAATTTTAAGAATAAATGAGCAAGATACTGAAAAAAATATATCAATAAGTAATATCGAAAAATAATCAAATAATGACCTAGAAGAAATATATTTATGGTGATATTATCTAATCAGGACAAATATTCGTGTAGTCTAACCAAACATGTTCGGTCAACATTTCAGGTATTCTCCTTTTTTGCCGAATATTCTTCAATAATAAACTCTTTTACGTCAAAGTAAATATTTCTATTTGAATTCCATTTAGAAGTGTCTAATTTTCAAATCGGAAAAGATAAAATGATTTCTACATAACATATGTCCCAACATACCGGGCGTAAACAAAGAAAAGCCAATTTTAAGGTGTATCAAAATGGAATTTGATATAGATTCATTAATTTATCGTATGGCAATTCAGACACAGTAAACTCAAATGCTAATTTACACATATAAGTTAATAAAACAAACTTTGGGGTTTCACAAACAAATATCAAATCTGTGTTAGGAATCACACGTTAAAAGGTCCTCAGCTCGCACAAGTTTCTCAACTTCTGAGAGTTGTGGTTCGTATGGGGGCGACAGCTGATTAACGGAAAAACAGATTTTAAACAGATTTCAAACAGATAATCTACTGACCCGCCAGTTGCCAACAGAAAGTATTCAGGTCTACTAGTCTGATTCACATGTACTTTTTGTTTGTGAAATTTTACAGACGGGTCCAAAAATTACGACCAAGGTGTCATTGGGTTCGTATTTTTACCTAGAAAGTTTAAGGAAAAGTCTGAAAAGGCGCTGAAAAAATTACTAAAGTTATAAACAATCAAGTGAAAAAAAATCGAGTGAAAGTTTTTTTAATATCTCGAAAAATTTTCAAAATTTCGAAAATTCGAAAAAAGATCTGAAATTTGCGTAAAAAGAGTCCCGACTCCCGAAACTGTATCTCGACTATTTATAATTTTTACAGAGCCCTGAAAATGGAGCCAAAAACGGGTAGTCTGGCTTCCGCGCGCATTCCGTAACTCTGATATAAAAATAAAAAAATCACTTAAACACATTATACATCAATAAACAATAATCCGCAGTCAAAAATTTTTTAACTCAATTTATATTTATATTAACTTTCAATTCAAAAAGTTATTAATTAACAAATGCATAATTAATGTTAAAATTGAGATAAAAATTGTTTGACTGCGGATTATTGTTCATTGGTGTATCTCAACATAACATGAATTTTTCATTCCGTAATATTCCTTAATATTCGTTTAAAATTTTTTTTTTGTTTTTATGTCAGAGTGACAAAATGCGCGCGAAAGCCAGACTACCCGTTTTTGGCTCTATTTGCAGGGGTTTGTAAAAATTATAAATAATTGAGATACAGTTTCAGGAGTCGGGACTTTTTTCACGCAAATTTATAGATCTTTTCAGATCTTTTTTCAAATTTCCAATATTTTGAAAATTTTTCGAGATATTAAAAAACTATACTGATGTAGGATATTCGTTCGTGATGTTTTAATCGTTTGATATTAGGTTTGTTCTGGTTCTACGAAATTCTGATTCTAGGACGTCAGGATAATGCTCAGTTGATATACAGCGTTCTGGTTTATTGAAGATAAGTTCGAATTGATGGATCCTCTGTTATGGTTTCGAGTGCGAAATGATCCTAAACCGTCCCGAATCGTTCTTCCTCTCGAGGCTGAACTGTTCCCGTTGCTCATGCGCATTCATGTGGAAATTTGTTTGGGCTATATTCTAGGATATTTTTTTATATATTTGATTTGAATGATTGATGATTGGGGTTAGATAACATTTGAACTGACTACAGGGATACGCTACATAAGAAAATGGACATGATCAACAGTATTTTCTCGTCTTCATCTCTTCATATATCCGACAGGTGGCACAGTGGTCTCATTAAAATGAGTTCTGGTTTAACCAAGTGTCCGAGACTATTTCAGACTGTTCGAGGTTTTATGTTTGTACGCATCATGTCTTGCGCAGTTTCCAAACAGTTTCGGATGTTAGAACCAGAACAAACCTATTCTCAGCAGTCGCAGTATGGTTATGGTTGTTTGCCCCATTTGTGCAAGAGGTAGATATGCACATCTACCATGTTGTGTTCTGATTCTGTTAAGTGTGGACCAGGTTCTGCGTGGTAGCTCAAATCCTAGGGGCTTTTGGGTAATGCAGGGCATATTATTGCCTTGCATTGGTCGAGTAGAACTCCTCTTGCATTGCTACACTTGCCATTTTAGTCGGTGGATTTCTGGAGCGGAGACGATTGTGATTGGATTGTGGATTGTGATTGGATATGGCTTGGTGATGGGAGCCACTGATTGGTCGACTTAATGACACCAGCGATCATCCTCCTGGTATTATTCAGTTGGACGTCCACCTTCTTTGCATGCGGACTGCTGAGCCAAACTGGGGCACACTATTCAGCCGTCGAGAAGAGAAGTCCCAAAGCGAAACAGCGCAGCGTAAAAGCCGATGCTCCCAAAGTGGTACCACATAGCTTCTGGAATAAATTGTATCTGGTTTTCAGCTTCTCGGTGGTTTGGTTATGTGTTCTCAAATGATAGTGTTCTATCAAGAGAGTTACTCCCACGTATTTCAGTGTTTTGTTGTAGGTTAGTTTGGTATCATCAAATCGTATGTTGAGCTCTTCCCTGGTTAGTCTGTCATTGAGGTGGAAGCAGCTAATATCTGTTTTGGAGGCATTTGGCTGGAGTCTCCAATTGTGGAAGTATGTATCCATTGTCTCCAGATTTGCTGTTAGGATTTCCTCAGCTTTTTTGATTGAGTTTCATCTTGTCGCAAGCACCCAGTCGTCACCTTGCCGAATTTATTTGACCTTGTTTTTGGCATATCCGCTCTAAATGAACAGCGGAGCGAGCACTGATCTCTGTGGCAAGCCGTCGTTGGGTTTCTTTGGTGAGCTGATGTCGGTGCCCATTATAATCTGAAACATCTGATCAGCAAGCATGTTCGATATCAGTTGATTTATTCGCTTGCAGAGATTTTTTATGAGAAGCTTGCAGAGCATCCCCCCTTCCATACTGTGTCATAGGCTGCCGAGGGGTCAATGAATGCAGCTGAGGTTGAGTTTTCGTGGGAATCCCGCTTTGATATAGGTTGACGAGATATCAAAACATGTTGTATGTTGGTGAGTAGATGCAGTTTTTCAAGTTTCTCAACTTTTAACTACCCTGATTCTTGAGTGGCATATTTCCGGATATTTACGGATACCAAACAAGAAACGTAGACAGCTATTCTGAATACGCTGTAGTCGAAGAGCATCCGATTGTCCTAAAAAAGTTCATTAATACTGTGGCAATAAGATATTTTTGACATGATCACTAACTCGCATAGTCTAAATTTTAAGTTTGTATTGAGCAAATCACGATTTGAAAACAGCTGCCTGAAACAGTTTGGTTCAGATAGCTGACATGTTTAGTGAAGTAGAGTCTATATCAAATCACAATCCTTAATGTTTATATCGGTCGCAGAGGGATGCGATGCGTATTTAAAAAGTGGAGTTGGAGAACTCTCTGTTCTTCTTAGGTCCAAACATCATTATTGCAGTTTCATTAAAATTGAGCTTGAAAATTGAGCAGATGTAGAATCACGAGGCGGGAAAGAGAAATATAACTGCGTGATGTCTGCATACTGATGTATATTGCATTTTTTACAAACAGATAAAAATCACAAATATGCAAGCTAGAAAGCAAGGGCCCAGTGATCTTTTTGTTACTCCCTTTGTACCAAAAGAGCATCCGATACAACTCCATCCATAACAACTCTTTGAGTACGGTTCTTCAAAATATCTCGTAATCGAGTGTCAAAGGTCTTTCTTCAAAGCAGGAGTACCAAACAGGTCAAATTCCCATCATCTACAGTTTTAATCAGGTAGTCGGTAAATAACAGAAGAGCCATATGCTGAGGTCAGTATATTGATCATACAGATATTAAACACTAATGATTTTCATTGACATACTCAATAATCCGTTCTTTTATTATCAATTCCACTACTTTAGGGAGACACGGGAGAATTGTAATTGGTCTCAGGTGAGTTATGAGTATACCTAGCTCAAAGGGTAACCACTAATTTCTCTCAAAGAGAACCTCAACCATAACAAGAACGTTATTTCCGGTCTCTCCATTTATGATTAACTTCTGTTCCTTCCTCAACTACAGAAAATATTGATGACTGGATGTTGCCAATTGAGATATCTCTTTTTGCCATTCTCTCAACATTATTAATATAATGGCCGTTTCTTTTATCATGTGGTAACATTGCTATATTCTAAACCGTAACAAATACGTAGACGATTAAATGGGAAAAAATATAACTGTCATCGGGAACAATACAATGGACGAAGAAAATTTACGGGGACCCTCGCCCTTCTCGAGTTATACGTGGAAAACCAAAAATGCTGTTTTTCGTTTTCTTCGAATGGAATTGTTATTTCGGAGAATATCAAAAAATGGACAAAAATGTCATTGTATTCGATGTGTACTATGACGAGGTAATGATAAATATTCGATGAAACGTTTCGTGTCAACATGACCATTATCAACTTTTTTTTAAACACGGGACTGTATTTTTCTCACAGATATTAATAAAGCGATAAATTCACAATCCAAGGGTATATCACATTTGATATTTTTATAGCGCTTCATTTGAAATAACTACCATAATCAGTGACAACAATTTTATATTAGGGTCTTCTCGTTACTTATTTTGTAAATTGTTTCGATATCTTCAAAATATAATTCAGACAATCCAATGAATTCCACAGGTAGGTACCCTAACACAATGAAAATTCGTACTTTTCCCTTTTGGAAATTTTTGTATTGCCGTAATCCTTCTTTCAAGGCTTATTTCGCCCTAATCAATTATAATTCGTAATATTTTTATAATTCTCAATCCTAGAAGTAACGAAAATATCAGTTTTTGGTAAAAATTCGATTGTTATATGATTTGGTATGATCAAATAGCATGACAATTCGTTTACCATCTCAAATGCGTAGGCTTTGTTTGGTTTCTATGGCAGGAAAAATGAATGCGCTGTTGAGAATTGTCAGACGTTTATGAACGTATCAAAGATGAATTCAAATGATGGAAGTACTGATATGCTATTCAATTATGAAAAATCAAATAGAAATCTTCTTTTGACAATAAATATGTATGTTGAGCTATACCCGAATCGTTGTATCACGAACATCCAAATGTTAAGACGATTAGAATGAAATTTGAAGGACTATGGTGCATTTGACGGAAAAAAAAACAAGAAAATGTGTGGTTACTGGAAGTGTGAGGAATCAAATGAATGTTTTTGGGTCACAGTGAAAACATCTTTTTCTTTTAATTTAGGATTGGCCAATTACAAAAATTATGCTCATCAAGATTGTTCTTTTCGAGAAATTTTCCACAAAATGGGGATTTCTGTAAAATCCACCAGAACTATTTTGAAAACAACAAATATAAATGCTACAGGATACGTAAAAGTTCATCACATCAACGAAAGGGATCACAAAAGGAGAGTACGATTTGCGAAGTGGTTGAGAAGTAGAAATAGGGAAGTTGAAATATTTGTAAAAAAAATACGGACGGACGAATCAAAATTCACCAACAATGGTTGGTTTAACAGCAATATCCATTATAGGTGGAATAATACAAATGAACATTCACATAGAGAAACCAATTTCCAAGAAAGGTTCGGAATAAATGTTTGGTTGGCCCTTTCTTTCACTATGATCATTTGAATAGTGAAATGTACCTTCATTTTCTATTCATTGAATTCGATGGCTATTTAGATGAATTGCCAGTGATTACCCGTCATGAAATACAATATTTTCAACAGGACGGCGCTCCTCTCGATAATGTAGCAATAGTAAGGGAATATTAAGATTCAATATTCCCAAGAAAATGTATTGGAAACACTGGACCAATTAACTGGCCAGTTCGATCCCCAGATCTTACTCTCTTAAATTTTTTTGTCTTGGGATACATGAAAGATAAAGTTTTTTCATCACTAAGTACAGATATCGACCATCTCAAACAAAAAATTAGAGATGCACGTATTAGTATTACACCTATTATGCTACAAAATTGACACAGAAATTGTCTGGACCATCATATTATGTGCATTCAACAAAGAGGTCGTCAATTCGAGCATTTAGTGTAGATTGCCATGTAGCTTTGATTTTCCGTATTGGTTTCATTTTTCCCAAAAGTTCATGATGAAATAAATTGTTTTTCTGTTTGATTGTTGTCAGTGATGATGGCGGTTATTTCAAATGAAACGCCATTAAAATTGGATTGTGAATTTATCGCTTCATCAATATCTGTAATAAAAAAACAGTTCCGTGTTTAAAAAAAAGTTGATGGTGGTCATATTGACACGAAACAATTTATTGGATATTTATTATTACATTGTCTTAGTACACTTCGAATTCAATAACATTTTCTTCTTCCGTTTCTAGATATTCTCCGAAATAACAATTCCATTCCAAAAATTAAAAACAGCATCTTTGGTTTTCCCCGTATAACTCGAGAAGGGCGAGAGTCCCCGTAAATTTTTTTCGACCATTGTATAGTTCTTGATGACAGTTATATTTTTTCCCATTCAATCGTCTTCGTATCTGTTACGGTTTAGATTATGGCAATGTTATCCACTTTTTCACTTCTAGTATACATTATTTCGACGAAAACCCAAATTGAAATTGAACAAAATTTAGAAACTTTAACTTTCTTCTCACAAAGCTTATGTCACTGTAACTACCTGAGTGTTTTGTTTTTCAAAGAAATATGAATAAAAATAATTGCAGAGCATTGTGCATTATGACAATTCATGTCACACTTGACAAAATAAATGAATCATCATTTAGCATTTTCCCTATTCACCTTATGTTTCTTATTTTTAATCCAATCGCAATAGACGATAAATTCGGTAAGGAATCTTTTTTTCGAAAAGTGTTTATCAGTGCCATTTGAAAAATGTTGTCAACTTGTTTCATATCTATTGTCAGTAGAGATGTTGTAAATTGTTCACATTACAGAAGTGTCTCAGAAATCTAGAAACAGTGAAATATGCACTCAAAACTTCAAAACCAAGGTCGCTTTCAGTAAAACTTAAAGTAAAACCCTCCTCTTCACTTGCCATAAACCTCTACGAAATCTCATTTTGATACACTTAATATTATAAAAGTTATGAACGTAGCAACCTCTCTTCAAAATAGCAACCTCTGTGAAAATGTATGGAAAAAAATTTGTTTCATATCTGTACCAGTCTCATTTCTGTTTTCTTCAATTGTATTTTTTCAACTAGCAGTCTTTTTATAATTTCTTTTTTTATTATTCATATCAACTACTACTATTACCAGCTAACGAAGTTAGCAGTGAATATGAAAGGTGAATATTAACTAATTTGTTTTAAAAAGTGAAATAGTTATTCTTTGAATCTCACAATTTTAATGTAAATCATTATTCATTAACTTCGAACAAAGGTATAAATAGTCTATCCATGTGAATTCAGCAAAGTCAGGTAGAAAAAAGGTAATTCAAAAAATTTTTGAATTGAGGGATGTCAATCAGTCCAGATTCTACAATTTCTTCTCGAGAAATAGTACCAAAAATACAATTCCAGTTATTAGCGCTATCAGTACAATCAGAGTAATAGTTGAACAGATGCATGACACCCTAAAAAATATTATGTAAATGAATGCTAGACTTGAGCTTTATGGACTTACGCTTCACATAAACAACACATGTTGTCACTAAGTTATCAACTCTGCTTTATCGATGCTGTAGGAGTGAGTTATATTTCAAAACCGGCACTGATTCATCTGTAGGTTCCGCTAAAACAAACCAGATATGAAATCAATAATAAATGCGTGAATTCTGGGAAGTCCTGATAACACATACTTGTATTGTTCGGTTCAAATAGAAACATCTATACTATACGGCGTCCATAATTCCTTTAACTTTTACTGAACTCTTATCTCTTATCACGGCATCTCAAAAGCCAAAAAAAAACAATACAGAGAAATAATGTCGCTGCCAACTAGTCCACGTGGACTGAAGAATTGGCGGTTCCTATTGAATAATTTTTACTAACCGACTTTTATGATTGGCTGAAGAGTCATAAAATTAAATTTGAAGTCATGTTACGGTGACGAATAGAATGTGTGTAGTGATTACAATAGTGATGGTAAACAATGCGAAAAAAAACAGTGAATGAGATTCGGATGCATTTGAATATTGAAACACAGAGAGTAAGTTTCAATGTATATAATAATCTACATCTCAAGCATTACAAGCAAAATCAGATTTGACCGAAATTCATTTCCCGACTGTACGTAAAATAGTCAAAAACAAACCTTATGAACGCAAGACGCGATGTGATACAGGATTACCAAAACCTTCAGATGTTCGTCTAATAGAATCATTGAAAAAAATAATATACCACTGTTACAAATGCAATGAGATTCCTACAACTGAAATCATAAGGAAGAAATTGAATACTTCCGGCCATAACGTGAGCTGACAAAACTCTTCAGAACTGGATAAAGAAACTAGGATTTAGATTTAAAATAATAAAAAACGTTATGGAAAGTTATGGAAGTTATGGAAAGCAGAAGAATAGTGGAATTGCGTAACAAATATTTAGAACAAATAACTAAATATAGACAAAAACAACGATGAATTTTCTATTTGGACGAAACTTGGTATGACACTCACGACACAGTTACGAAAGGGTAGACTGATGATTCGAGAATGTATACGCCTAAAATGCTTGCAAACAAAGGATCGCGACTCATCATTGTGCATTGCGGAAGAAGTAAAGGAAGGGTACACAGCAAACATAGAACTAGTAACGAGACTTGAGTACAAAGAAGATTACGACCTCGTCTTCGAGTCATGTAAGTACAAATCTAAGTGATTTTTGAGAATGGCTCCAAAGCAGGAGCCCAAACGTCGAAACGATGAAAATTACAGACGCGGTTCAACCCGGACAATAGTATATCAAATTACTGACCGCGAAAATCTATCCGAACACACACACACACATATATATATATATATATATATATATATATATATATATATATATATATATATATATA